ATCCATCTGACAACAGCAATGATATCCTTGGTGCTATAACCTTTTCTAGATCCAACTTAAACTTCTGGCAATTATTTATGTACTGTTCTAGCCATTTTTTAAATGATCTTCAGCAGTATTTTGCTTGCAGGTTATATTAATTGTTGTTGTGGTTTTTATGTGCCATTGAGTCACTTGCGACTCATAGCGACCCTATGTACAACAGCTCTAAACTCTGCTCTGTCCTGTGCCAATCTCATTGTCTCCGACACACTCATCCTGCTTGCCACAGTCACCGAATCAATCCATCTCCCAGAAGGCTTTCCCCTCCTGCACCTGCCCTCCACCCTCCCAAGTACAATGTCCTTCTCCAAGAACCGATCTCTCCTTACAACATGACCAAAGTATGTCAGACGAAGCCTCAGAATCCTTGCCACCAAGGAGCAGCCTGGTTTGATAATTCCCACACTTAGTTGGATTACCTGTTTTGGGAATGAATGGGAACAAGGAAGAAAGTGTCTTCTACTCCTCTTTGTTATCTTCATTCGGGTAGAAGCCCAGACCCTTTGACTTCCTTCCTCCAGCCTTGCTAACAGCTCTTGGGATTATAGTGGGCAAGCAGCAAGGAAGGAAATGTCTTCCACACTTCTCTGCTTCAGGCTGAAGAGCAGAAGCTTATTGGATCCGTCCAAGACATCACCCTCACCTGGGACACGATCGTGCTGTGCCAGCTATGTGTCTGAGATGGAAGAGCAGAAACACTAAGTCAAAGGAAGATGCTCTAAGAGCAGAAGATCAGGAACAAGTTCCTTCCTCTAGAACTACCAGAGAGAGGAAAAACCTTCCCTAGAGCTGGTACCTGGTATTCAGAGTCGGAACTTCCTAAATTGTGAGATTTATCTGTCAGTTTATTGTATTGGGAGGATGATTTGCATATTGCTAATTATCTTGTTGGAGAGGGTGAATCCGAGTCTTTTCTTGGAGGGTAGGATTTTGAAACTCTGCCTCACTTACTTTGACCACGTGGCCATAACACACTATGACAGGTTTGGGAGCAGGAATGGCATCCACTTCCTAAACAACATGCCTCCAGAAACTCTAGGCACTTTGATAAATGTTGATAGTTGTGGAGGAACCTCAAGACTTTTGTTCATAGGATTGCTGAGTTGTGCTCGACTCAAAGACAATCAACAACAACAATAATGACCTTGTAGCTTAGGTATCTAGATGCTGGTTTTTTAAACATTGTTCCAATTAGTATAGTACTTGTCTGTCAGTTTGCTGTACTGAGATAGCTTTTGGTGCTATGATGCTAATGACTGTGGGACCAGTATCATCTGTGGTAGATAGGTTTTAGGGAACTCCTAGATTAAGACAGACTAGGAAGCAGGACTGGCCATCCATTTCTGAAACAGAAGGCCTCTGACAACCCTATGAACAATAGAGAAACACAGATAGTTATAGTATTAGAGATAGAGGCCACTTTGGAAGTCAATCAAAATGAGGAGAAACATCTACTAACACACTTTCATAGTTGAAAAAAAAGTGGAAAGTACAAAGTACGAATATTGGGAAACTAGAAGTTGTGGAAAATGCACTGGGATGCATGAACACTGACATTCTAGGCATTAGTAAGATGAGATGAACTGGCTTTGGCCACTATAGGTAAGACAATCACACGACTGAGACGTTGAATAAGACAATCACATATGCTGATAATTAAACACAGAATAAGAATGGTATTGGATTCATAGTTAAAAAGACAATTTCACGGGAGCTCTGGTGGCTTAGTGGCAAGAAGCTGTGCTGCAATTCCAGAGGTATGCAGTTCAAATCCACCAGATGCTCTGCTGGAAAAGGAGGGACAATCTCCTTCAGTGTCAGACCTGATTTGACAGTACACACACACACACACACACACACACACACACACACACTATTTTTTTTAAAAAAAGACAATTTCAGGTTCTATCCTGAAGTACAATGCTATGAATGATTGAGTATTATCCATATGTGTACAAAGAAGATTTGTTAATATGCCTATGCCTATTATTCAAATATACACACCAACAGCTAAAGCCAAAGAGGAGGAAATTGAGTATTTTTCTAAAATTTTTGCAAACTTCCAAAATTGACCAACCATGCACTTGAGATACATTAATGGTGAGCTGGTGAAAGAACGCAAGAGTTGGAAACAATTAAGTAGGAAGAGTAGTCTGAAAGTGCAAATTTGGTGACAGAAATGAGACTGGAAATAGAATGAGTGAATTTTAATATTTTTTATTTATTTGTATTTTTTTCTGTGTACTGTCAAATCAGATCTGACAGGTTCAAGAGGAGTTTGCCACTCTTTCTCCAGCAGAGCATCTGGTGGATTAGAACCATGTACCTCTGGGATTGCAGTGCAGCTTCTTGCCACTAGGTCACCAGAGCTCCCTAGAATGATTGAATTTTAGATGTTGAGTGATTTATTCATCACAAATATCTTTAAATAAAAAATACACATGGCAACTTTACACTTGGGCATCAACACCCAATGGACTGCATAGGAATCAGATCGACGACATCTGTGGAAAGAATCATTGAAGAGCTGTCAAAACCAGGCCAGGTGCTGATTCTGGAACAGAAGATCATGTGCAAGTTTCAACTGGGGCTGAAGAAAATGAAAACAAGTCCATGAAAACCAAGATATGACCTTGAGTCTCTCCCACTTGAATTTTTAAATCTTCTTAAGAATAGGTTTGAAGTATTGAACACTAGTGATCGATGACTAGATAAGTTGTAGGGTGTCATCCAGGAAGAGTGTAAAAAGGCCACTACAAAGACAGAGGAGGAAGAAAACCAAAATGGATGTCAGAAGAGACCCTGAAAATTGCAATAGGGTATCAAGAAGAAAAAAAAAAGAAAAAAAAGGAGGAAAGAGATGTTAAAGTAGATGTGAAAAAGGACTGAACAGAAGCTTTCAAAGGGCAGCTCGAGAAAACAAACCAAAGAATTGTAACAGAATGTTCAGAGACCTAGAATCGGAGAATAAAAAGGGAAGAACTCGCTTGGTATTTCTCAAGCTAAAAGAACTGGAAAAAAAAAAACAAATTCAAGCATTGAGTTACAATACTTCCAAATGGTATGGGCAAAATCTTGAATGATCCAGGAAGCATCGAAAATCTTGAAAGATTCAGGAAGTATCAAAAATGGAGAAAACACACAGAATAATTTTACCAAAAGGAACTGGCCAACACTGAAATATTTCAGGAAATGCCATACAATCAAGAGCCAATGGTAAGGAAACAAAGAAGTTCAAGCTGCAATGAAGACTTTGGCAAAAAAAATAAGGCCCCAGGAATCGATGGGATACCAAACGACAGATGCAGCCCTGAACGTGCTCACCAGTCTATGCCAGGAAATTTGGAGGAGAGCTGCCTGGTTAACCAACTAGAAAGACCCATATTTGCTCACATTCCCAAGAAAGGTGAAATTGTGTTCTGGGTAGTCTTATTTAAACAAGGAGAAAGTTTGCCTTTCAGGATCCATTTCTTAACTCACAAGAAATATGAGAATTGTTCTCACTGGGGTTCCAGATCCTTTAGATCGCCGGGTGTCTAAAACCTCCTCCTTAGGTCCATGGCTCCTTCACTGCTGCAGACCTCCTCTCTGTAATTTTGAAGTTGCACCTGAAAGCATGCCCCACCCCACCTCTGACTCACTCCCAGGAATCTTCCAAAAACTGACACTGGACGTATCCAGGTCCCCTCCTTGTGGACTGCGGGGGGTGGCTGCAGAAAGCCCAGCCTGCCCCTTCTTCCCAAGAAAGAGTGTTTTATGGGATGCAGCCTGTCAAAGAGCATGGTCTTGGTCTTCCCCAAGCTCTAGGATGGTGGAGGTGACAGCAGGCTCCAGAGCCTGGCTTCATTCTGCATTTCTGCAAAACCTAGGAATCTCTCTAACTCGTAGTCTTGAGCTACAGAGCGCCCTGTCTCCCTTCTCAGTTTTGATGTAAGCTCAAGAAAAGCCGCACTGAGCTCTCCCCTGAGGAGAAGGGGTACCCCCTCACGTCAACTCTCCAAGGTTACCTGGGCACCCACCACCGAGAGTACGGGTTGTTTGCCGATAGTGTGTGAGTGTGGTGTTCCTGCCAGTTGGCAAGGACGCCTTTGTGTCCACATATCTGAGTGTGAGATGAGGGGGACATCCGTGTGTCACGTGAGTGGTGAATGCGCCCGCACCACCACTGGATACTGTGTCCCTTTGTGTGCAAGTGGGTGAGTGTGCGTCTGAATGGCTGCAACATCCGTCTGGCTGACAGAAGCGCTCCGCGTCCTGGGTTTCTCTCCGCTGGCTTTGCATCCTCTTCAACTGCTCTCCAGTTCAAGAAGAGGCCACCTCCGGGCTCTCCAAGCTCAACACACTTGCACATATATGCACGCACCCCTCCGGGGGAGCTGGCCAGCTCAGCGCCTGAGGTCCGGGGACATTTAAACCCTTGAGCACTTCACTTCTCCGCCCTTCCCCCCCCCCCCCCCCCCAGCTGCCCTGGGTGTAGAATCCTGGAGTTGGACCTGGCCTCAAAGCACTCAGAGGGAGAAGAGAGGGGGCGGGGAGGGGAGGGGAGAAAGGCAAACTGAGGACATGCCGGAGAAGTAAGGAACCGGTGCGGGTGAAGAAGGTCCCACCCACACCACGCCCCTCCGGCTAGAGATGGACATGGGCTAGCGGGTCCTCCAGACTGCCTTCCCCTGGGGCTCCAGGGGTCTAACTCCATCTTCTCTGAAATGGGAACCCAGTGTGGCCGCAGAACCCCCTCCCCCTGTCGCCCTCCCTCCACGCCCCGCGCCCAGGCGGTCGCTGATTGGCTGCGGAGAGCAGCGCCCCAGCCCCGGCTCCGAGGCGGGAGCTCGGCTGGGACCCGGTGGGAGGCGCCGCGCCAGCGCCGGGAGCCCCTCCCGAGTCCGTGCGCCCTGCGCGCTGCGCGCTGCGGGAGGGCTGAGTGGGACTCCCCGAGGGCAGGTGCCTGGGGCGCAGAGGGGCCCCGGACCAGGCTGGGAGCAAGTCCTTCGCGGAGACTGGCGCTGCCTCTCCAGCTGGCGCCACCGCCACCGCCACCAAGCCGGCCTCCGAGCGAGCTGGGAGGCCAGGGCCGGGAGACTGGGGGCGCCCATGGAGCACACGCACGCCCACCTCGTCGCCAACAGTTCCTCGTCCTGGGCCCCTGGCTCGTCCTGCGGCTTGGGCTTCGTGCCGGTTGTCTACTACAGCCTCTTGCTGTGCCTCGGTTTACCAGGTGAGGGGCGTGCGGGAGAGGGGAGGAACCAAGGCAACCCAGGCGACCCTTTCTGAACGCCCGGGTGGAGAAAGTTTACGCCTTTAGGACAACTGCGGAGATTTGCAGATTTCGAGGGCAGGAAGTTGCTGCGGACTGGAAGGGACTGGGGCGCGCGTATCGTGTGTGTGTGTGTGTGTGTGTGTGTGTGTGTGTGTGTGTGTGTCTTGGTATGAGCGTGTGATTGGAATCAAGTGGACTGGCGTGTGTTTCTGCGCGTCATAAGGGCTTCGTGTCTGCGAGGGCATCGGGTGTGTATGTGACTTGACTGCACCTTCTGGGGAAAAAAAGATTTGTGGAGTCTACACGTGTCCACTCGCCCCCACTTCTGCCCCAGTCGAACCCTGCGCCTCCTGATGAAGCTGGCAGTCCCTCTCTTAGCAGTAGACACTCTGGTTCCAAGGGCACCAGGATGATCGAGGCATCTCTGCTGCCCCCTGAGCGAGGAAGGGGTCTAGACGGAGTCTAGGAGCATCAGGAAGGGTGACTCTGACCCAGGGCAAGGGTGCAGACACGCAGGCGAGCTGCTGAGGCAGCCACCTCAAAGGGTCACAGTCTCCTTGAGGACATTCTTCACCTTTACCTTTACCCCCCTGTCCGTGGATAGCTAACGGCTGCTGCTGCTGTCTGACAGTCCCACATCTTCATATCGGTGTCCAAGTGAGGCTAGTGTCTTGAAGAGAGCTGAGCTGCTTGCCTGGGGTGTGTGTG